AACGTATTATTCGGATCAGGAAAAATTCGAAAAATTCTTCAGGAGACTATCTGAGTGGAATATCCAAGAAGGTAATAAAGAAAAGTTAAATAAGAGGTGGATAAAACGCGTAATCGCTCTACTGCTTCTATCTTCCCATATTGAGCCCCTATCTTCTGGCTCAGTTATTGTCAACTCTGGTAACGATAAAGTGAAAATATTTCGAGAAACCGTTTCCCTCTTCGACATTACACTACTTAAAAAAGAATCGTACGAAAAGCTTAACCCAGTGTGGAATGACACTAAAAAAGAAAACAACTTTGATTTTACAGAATTAAATAAAGTGAGAAAAATGTACTTCCCAGCAATCAAATATATTGATCATAAAAACATAGACAAAATAGATCCAAGGATATTTATTCAACTATTATGGTTAACAGACAAGTGTCCATTAATAATACGTCAACATGAGAACGTCGAAAAGGCCATCCAGCTCTGTCCCGATAAAAAGTTCATCCTAATTGGCGAAGGCAAGAAAGAGGAGTGGATGAAAATCTATTCCGTGTTCCAAAATCTATCAAACTTGATTTGGAAACCTGATTTATGCGAAAGAATCATGCAAAATTTTACCATATCGATCCAAGGAAAGGGAGAAATTAATCTTGCAACAGCTTTTGGAAATAGCGATGAATTCTTAGAAAGTGTCACAACGGATAACTTAGTGGAAATGCTAGACGGTCCGTGTTATATAGGCGGAGAAAAAGAGATTCTTCCTGAACCTTATATTGAGCGGAGTCTTTCCCGAAATATTATTAACATTAAATACCTAGAAAAATTTTGGGAAAACACAATTATTATTTTAAATTGCGCCGATAATTTTGATAAAGTTAAAGACAAACTCAAGCAGTCTAAATTAATTGATATCAGTTACTTCTTAGAGATAACAAATCAGAATTTTGAAAATCAAAGAAATGAATTTTATGTGGCTAAATCTAATCCAACTCAGTTTAAACACAAATTTAATCCGGATAAATCAAATTTTACCAATACAGTTTATACAAGTAATAGAAATGTTAGTGATTTAGAACTAGAACAAATTTACGATGAAAATAGAGAAGCCAAACAAATTCACTATTTTAAACTCTCCGAAGATTGTAATTTAGAATGGATTAAAAGCAGAGGCGATGTTGGTGATTTAGAGGTTTATAAGTTATATGACAAATACTGTACGAACGAAAATGAACTATGGTGTTCTCGGTTAGATAATAACATCAATCTAATATGTGGCGATCCCGGCATGGGGAAATCCGAGTTAATGAAAAGCTGCAAAAATAAATGTTCACCGCAATATTGGACAATTATAATTAATCCTACCGATGTGCACTCATTTTTTTACAATCCTAAGTTTTCTAAAACAACTAAATATACAGATTCATTTGAAAAATTTATCGTAAATGAAAAATGTCGGTCGCTCAAAAAATTCGAACGAAGATTTTTCGAAATGTGTGTACAGAAAAATAATGTTGTTTACGTGTGGGACGCGCTCGATGAAATTATAGGAGAACACTTAGAAGCTGTGTATCAAATAATACTTGGATTCTCAACAAAAGGTTTCCTTCAGTGGATTACCAGTAGAAGACATTTAAAACCATTTCTGGAAAAAAAATTCAATGTGTTGGCACATAGTATAAATCAGTTTGACGAACAAGAACAAGAAAATTATGTAAGAAAACGTTTAGTTTCTTTCACTTCTGTAGACGAAATTGAGATCACGATCGAAAAAATTAAATCATCGTTCGCGATTATCGAACACGTTAATATATTGGGAATTCCGCTCCAAATCTTCATGGTTACTGAACTATTTCGTCAAAACAAAGACAAATATTTGAAACTAATGGAAAATATATTTCTCTTGACTGATTTATACGAATACTTCATTGATGAAAAATTTAATAATTTTTTCAAAGATAAATTGGCGTTTGATTTTAAAAATCCTCACATGGTTAGTAGAATTCGCGAAGAAAAAAAGGAGATTTTAGGTAATTACGAGAGAGTGGCACTTAAATTAATATTTTCGGAAGACATTCTGAAACGATTAAATGTCGACTGTGAAAAACATAAAGAAAAAAATTCACAAAAATGTGTGTCTGTTGGTCTTGTAAGTGAATTCCAAAATGATGTGGCACATTTTATTCATGGTTCTTTTGCTGAATACTTAGTCGCGATATATTTTTCAAAAAATTTAAATACCTTGCGTGATACACTTGGGGACTTAATATTCAACGCAAAGTATAATAATGTTCGTTTTTTTTTCGACATGTTGTTAGTCAAAAATTGTAAAGTTCACATTGCTGTCTTGTATAAGAAATATGAACTACTTAAAACTTATGATGAAGAAACTTTAACATGCAAAGATAAAGGTGGTAGAAGTGCTTTACATCTGATTTCTTCATGGGGACAAAGACATCCGCGTGTAAAAGTAACGGTTGAAAATGGGAAGTGTGTTGTGCATGAAGACAGCAATTTCGATAAACAAGCAGAAACCGAGACGTATTTTGAAACGGTAATATTTTTGCAGAGCAAGAATGATGTTGAAGAACACGATAGTTTGCTAGATACGACACCCTTGTCCTATGCCAGAAAAAGTGAGAGTTTAGGTGCGGAAATAATATTACTTCAAGCAAAAAAAAATGAACTGTATCGTCACTCAAGTTCTCTTAACGATATAATTAATATTTTATATTATTCTTCTTTACTTGGATATGATCAAGTGTGTGAGCTTTTCACCGTCCAAGAGGAGAAGAGCAGGAAAAATCGCTGGTATGAAACCAAATTTGTTACTGCCGGAAATGCTGAAACACCTCTATTATTAGCGAGTAGAAGTGGTCACCTGAAAATTGTTAAATACTTGTTACATTTAAATGACGAAATTAACAAATCCAACAAAGTTTGTGAAACCGAAAGCAGGCACAAAAATACTTTAGAATATGTTCTGAACGTCGGTGAAATCAATCACAGCACTGTTGACAGCTCTTTCGATTGCTTAGCGGAGGCAGGCGCTGAAATTAATTGTTGTAATAAACATGGGGCGACACCACTTTTCGTATCTTCTGAAATGGGTCACGAAAAAGTTGTCGAATATTTGGCGACAGTCGGCGCTGAAATCAATCGCGCTAGGATTGACGGTCTGACACCACTTCACATTGCTTCCTTCAACGGTTACGCAAAAGTTGTCGAATACTTGACGACAGTCGGTGCCGAAATCAATCGCGCTACGAATGACGGCTGTACACCTCTCCTCATGGCTTCACAAAACGGTTACGAAAAAATTGTCGAATACTTGGCAACAGTCGGCGCTGAAATCAATCGCGCTAATGAAAACAACGTGACTCCACTTCACATAGCTTCCTTCAACGGTCACGAAAAAGTTGTCGAATACTTGGCGACAGTGGGCGCCGAAATCAATCGCGCTAATGAAGACAATGTGACACCACTTCACATAGCTTCATACAACGGTCACGAAAAAGTTGTCGAATACTTGGCTACAGTCGGCGCCGAAATCAATCGCGCTACGAATGACGGTATGACACCACTTTACGTAGCTTCAAAAGAGGGTCACGAAAAAATTGTCGAAATCTTGGCGACAGTCGGCGCTGAAATCAATCGCGCTTTGGAAAACGGTGTGACACCACTTCACGTAGCTTCCTTCCATGGTCACGAGAAAGTTGTCAAATACTTGGCAACAGTCGGCGCCGAAATCAATCGCGCTACGAATAACGGTATGACACCACTTTACATGGCTTCAGAAAAGGGTCACGAGAAAGTTGTCGAATACTTGGCGACCGTCGGCGCCGAAATCAATCGCGTTACGAATGAGGGTGCGACACCACTTTACGTAGCTTCACAAAGGGGTCACGAAAAAATTGTCGAATGCTTGACGACAGTCGGCGCCGAAATCAATCGCGCTACGAATGACGGTGCGACAACACTTTACACAGCTTCACAAAGGGGTCACGAAAAAGTTGTCGAATTCTTGGCGACAGTCGGCGTAGAAGTCAATCGCGCCACTGAAAACGGTGTCACACCACTTCACATAGCTTCCCTCAACGGTCACGCCACAGTTGTCGAATTATTGTCGACCGTCGGCGCCGAAATCAATTGCGTTACGAATGAGGGTGCGACACCACTTTACGTAGCTTCACAAAGGGGTCACGAAAAAGTTGTCGAATACTTGGCGACGGTCGGCGCACGAATCAATCGCGCTACCAAAGAGGGTGCGACCCCACTTTACATAGCTTCCCTAAATGGCCATGAAATGGTTGTTGAATATTTGGCGACAGTCGGTGCCGAAATCAATCGCACAATGAACGACGGTTCGACACCACTGTATATAGCTTCCCATATGGGCCACGAAAAAGTTGTTGAATATTTGACGACAGTCGGCGCGGAAATCAATCGCGCTACTGAAGAGGGTGCGACACCACTTTACATAGCTTCCCAAATGGGCCATGAAAAAGTTGTCGAATACTTGGCGACAGCTGGCGCTGAAATTAATCGCACTGTAAATGACTCTTCGACACCACTTCACATAGCTTCACAAAACGGCCACAGAAAAGTTGTCGAATACCTGGTGTCTGCCAGCGCCGAAATCAATTGCGCTACGAATGACGGTGTGACACCACTTTACATAGCTTCCCAAATGGGCCACGAAATAATTGTCGATTACTTGGTGACAATCGGCGCCGATATCAATAGCGATACTAAAATGGGCGGTACACCGCTTTTCATAGCGTGTCTAATGGGCCACGAAAAAGTTGTCAATTACTTGGCGACAGCCGGCGCCGAAATATCAATGACGGTTCAACATATAGCTTACGACAAAGACCACGAAAAATTTGCCGAGGAGTTAGAAGAACTCGGCCCTTCTTGAAGGAATCCTAGAGTCGAGAACTTTTTCAAACGGTATCGTTGTAGTTTAATAAATATAAGAGTAATATATACCATTTTTTCAGAGTATATAGGGTGATTTCGAAAAATATGCAATAATTATAACCAGGTCTTCACGTACCGTAATAATGTGGAAATATAGTGAAGACAAATTGAAAGTCGAATGGGACAAAATCTCAACTTCCTCTTTCGTTGAGTCTTCAATTTCGTTTCCTGCTATTCTAGGGCAAGTCTTCTTGGCAGAATTTTCCTTGTTGCTTCTTTTATGGTATTTGTTAAATTGTTCCACTTTTCAACTAGCGATTTTGCGTTAGGCGCTACTTCGTTTCTATAGGCCTCACGAATATACTTTTGATAGTTCTGCATCATCTCGAGGTTTTTTAATTCGTCTATACTGGATTTAGGATCTTGTTTCTGTTTTACTTTGTTTTCTTGCTTGAAACAATCTTTCCGTTTTATTCCTACTAGAAAATTATCTGAATCTATTTCGGCACTTCTGGAAGTTTTAACTTTAGCAACTATCTTTGCATCCTCTTCTTGTACCAGAATGTGTTCGATCTGATTGGTTTTATCACTTCCTGGTATTGACCAAGCTCCTTTAAGAATACTCTTTCTTCTAAAATGTGTGCTAACAATGACGGTGCAAAGATAACTTCTCCAAACGGTTTCGTAGTAGTTTAGTGTAGCAAAGACGGTGTACGTCAGTGTTATTAAGTAAATCAGTTATCTTTCAGAAAATATAGCGTTTGGTATTTTGTTTTAATTGTCGTAATAAAATTAAGTGAATTCATTGTGGAACAGTTACACATTTTAAGCAAGAGAGGATTTGCTGTCCCTATTTTATGCAAGTTTCTCAAATAGTTTCGTTTAATGAACGTCTTCAGAGAAATAGAAGGAAGAATTTCTCTTTCTCTATTTTAATCTTTCAACGTGTATCCAGTGTTTCACTGTATTTTGAATAAAGATTGCACCTACTAAAGTATAGTCGATTCACAGGAATAAGAAACTTTGACTAAAGTAATAATTCATAACCGATAACGAAACGATTTCGCCATCTATTAACGTTTAATTAGTGCTTAAAAATGTTCCGATACAAATATTTACCGTCTTCTGTTAATTAATTCGTAAATTATATTAGTGAATTTTACAATAAACCCAGTTCAACACGTAAATTGTTAATGTATGGGTAATCTAAGTCTACTCAGTTGTACTATACTTTTTGGAGTCCAGTTCATTACACTTTCGTTCTTCGTTGGAATCTGATATTGTTTGCTTTTATCCGTGTTGGAAAATAAAACGTCTACCTAGGTCTGAAATCACCACATCGCCTCTGTTTTTTTTTTTAGTTATTATAAGTTTGAGCAAAAATTAAAATTCGTTAGTAACAGTGGACGCACTATTTTGAATGAAACAAGACCTTCAGATAAAATAGTTTTGTGTTTTCTCCTTTATTCAATAAACAGAAAGCAATGCATGAGATCGTTTAGCATCTTCCTAAATACTTTCCTGACTGATTTTTACAACAAGTTAAAAATGTAACCATGCAAAACAACAACCAACAAATTGAAGAAATAATTTAGGTAAATACGTTCTATATCGTGAAAACAAAATGAAAAAAGTATCTTCCAGAATCGCTTCTTCAGTTACCTCATCAGTCACAAATTGTAACAAAAATTTAGCGTTATTACGAACTGGACTACAAGTGAAGCTGTATACATATATATAGCGAAGGTAAGAAAAAAATATCATCGTTATTTTTACTTTGAGTTAAGCGTTCTAGCAAAGACGTACACAAGCAAGAAGAAATTATGAAATACTTCCAATCTTCTAGAAAACAAGACTGACTCAAGTATTGTTGTGAATGTGGGGTTGGAAATTGACGCTGAAGTCTCCAAAATGATGCGTTTGTGGTTATGTTACTTTATTACTCCTCGCCGTGGTGTAAGTAAAACTCCATCAATTCTAATAAATAACACTAGTTTACAAATTTAAACTTTTTTTCATATCCAAAAATAAGAAAAATATTTTCTACGTCTAAATTACTTACTGATAACAAATCCAAAAACGGATAATCCTTATCACGTCAGGTTTTTTCATAAATCCAAAATAATGAACTTTGCTTTACCTTCACGTTAGTGTTAAACTGATTCATGTTAATGCATTATTGTCGCATAAAAAATGTCTTCGAGATCGTGCAAAGTAAGTGCAAATCAGTTTTGTTACGTTTGTGGTAAAATTATAGTACCTAAAGCGGGAAGACCTGTTCAAATATGCTTAAAAAGAAGGTATCAAGGTTTTTGGGACGAAAATGTGTTACTGTTGGTCTATTACAAGGGAAACTGACAGTACTGCCAATAAAGAAAACGCTAGTGTTAATCATTTTTAATTTTCAGTCATAATGTGTATAATATATGCTGGGTGTTGCTTTTATTTGATACAACCCCTGTAACTTCCTTATTCTTAAAGATAAACCTGTATTTCTTTGAGCAAATTTGTATCATTTTAAAAAATCTTTGTGAGGCCAACCTCAAATTTTTATTATCACTTCCTGTAGAAAAATCAAAAGGAACCAATTATTCTAAAATCAATACTTGAAAAATTTTAAATAAACATTGATGACAATCTAGTAGCTTGAAAAATTGACTCATGTTATTTATTTACGTAAATGATCTTTTAAAATGATACAAATTTGCTCAAAGAACTATATGTTCATATATGTATATTTAAAAATAAAAAAATTACAAGAGTTGTATAAAAGAAAAGAAATACGGGGTATGTTTATATAAATATCTCAAAAACCTGACGTCATGGATTTTTTCTGCTTTCAGATTTGAATTTCCCGAACCCAAATCCTTTAGATTCAACCATTTTTGTCTTTGGATACAAAACCTTGTGAACTAATGTAATTATTATGTTTAGTATTTTCGCATTTTTCTCTTTTTTTTTAATGATTATGAATTTGTGTGTGTTATTAAGTTTACCAACAACATCTTTTTTTTAGTGGTACATATACTAAGTGCCCAAATTCAGCAATACTTTTAATAGGCTTAGGGTTAGGCAATGGAGGATCATCTTCGAGAAACCAAAGATCTTTTTCGAACACTTCAAGAAATTTCCTTTCCAGAACTCGTTCTGCAAAGTTATATTTTTGTTCCTGCAAGAAAGGTTGGTTCATATATATTTTTTTTTAAGTAAATTGTATAGAAAACACACTTGATAAATGTTACTGTTTCATATCAAGTGCTGTTGTGAATAAATTCAGTAATATATTCTATATCGATGATATTACAACGTCAACATGTGTGTCCTTTTAACTAATTTCACTTTGTTAATTTAGGAAATTGAGCTCTGTTTTGGTAACTTTAATAAGTCACTGTTAGAAAAATAGGGATGGAGTGTGCAAACAAGGCGTCAAAATAACAGGACTGCGGTTCTTTTTGCTATGGGTTTGTTCTAGGAGCGCATAATGGTGTAAATAAATGCGTACACCTCCTCTTTCTGATTTAGAATCAGGTCGGTAAAGAATATAATTAAACATGAAAAGTTAAAAATATTCTGTACTCGGTCTCTTCGTACTTAATGAGCGTGGTTATAGCTCTCATTTTGGATGCTTGCTATGCTCTAAGGAAATAATTTGAACGAACTTCTTCATTGTCCATTTCGTGTATCCTCGATTACTAACATTTTTGTTCAATCATTCTTGAGTCACTGAAACTTCTAAATTATCATTCTGGAATGTTTCATTACGATAATAACTAGGGATGTACCGACTATAGGTCTGGCCGACTAACCGACTAGCCGATTGTTCGGCCAGTAAAAACCGACTAGTCGGCCGACTGTTCGGCTTTGCTAAAACCGGTTTATAAATGCAACAGACAGTGTGTTTTTTTTTCCTATTTTTCTGACTACCTTAAAAATTTGTTTTATTTTAATAAAAGGAATAACCAAAGTTCCTTTATTTTCCAAAAGAATGTGTTAAATTTGTTTGGATAATTTTAACATTTAATTTTTTTTAATAACTCAGTACAAAAATAAAGAATAACACAATTTAGGGCCAGTTTATACAATATTTTAACTGAGATTAATTGATCGCGCGTTTAACAAGGCCATTAGCGACTTCTGATTGGCGTAGAGTCGATCACATGGTACTTTAACGCCGTGTTAAAAATTAAATCGCAATTACATATTTAATTGAGGTTCTGTAAACCGAGTTTACTTGTATTATATACTATTTTAATTTTAATAAAAAAAGCCGACCGATCGGCTGTTTAGCCGACCAGTCGCCGACTGCCAGCCGACGATGAAAAACGGCCGAATAGTCGGCTTATCCGACCGGTCGGCCACTAGTCGGTACATCCCTAATAATAACATAAATAAATGTGTCTTTTTCTAAAGAACAGATAGTTGTTGTTACCAAAACACAAATTGCTCTGCGGATTAACACACGAGTATGTTACTAATTTAATTTTTTAAAAAACGGTTTGTCTTGTAATCTATGAATGTTGGTTCCTATATATTTTTTCTAGGACATCGAGAGCGCTCTCTACACTGGTCATCCCGCGCGTTTGCGCGAAAAACTTCACGCGAAAGGAAAAAGTCCAAAAGAACAATGCTTCCTTTCCTACTGGTAAGCAGAACTTGAATTATGTGTTTATGACGTCATACTTTAAATCATTTTTCCCCGAATGAAAAATTTATTCCCTCAGCAATATCAACAAACATAGTAATAATTACACACTACTTCTTTGTTTTTTAAACTAAATTGGTCGATTAAATGGCACATTATTAATGATTTTTTTTTGTTTTATAGCATCACTTTTTCGACCTAACATCCAGGCAAGAAAAACTTTAAACGTTCAGGTTTACTTGTACATGAAAAGCTTGCGAGGAAAACTGACCGGTTTTAACATCTTTACAGAAGAAAGTATTACCAAGTTGCACGAAAACACAGGAAAACTTATCGACAAGCAAACAATTTCACTTTTGGGAGAAACGCTACTCCTACGTTACATCGTCAGGAAGATTTTTGCGTATCTCGACGAAGAGGGCCAATTAGGCTGCGATCCCACAAGAAAATATTTGCTGCTAGGAGTAATCTCTTGTTACTTATATAATATTTGTTGTGTATTAGTGTCAGTACGGTCCAGGCAGTACTTTCTTTATCAATACATGCGACTAAAAGTACACAATTTTCAATACCAGTAGTTTTAGAAATTATCTGTCCAATACAAATTGACACAGATGACAGATAACAGACAGACGGAAACCAGAGAGCTACTTTGTCGTACTCTAGGGGCATGAAACGTCGAGAAAACACGAAAGGAGCCATCCATCGGCTGCACCTTTTCGCAATATAGTTGGATTCATGTATCTTTTTACCACGTGACCAAAAGCTAACGTCCGAACTAATAACTGTTACTTAACAACGGTTTGACCCCACTATACATAGTTTCCCAAAACGGCCACAGAGACATTGTCGAGTTTTTAAAGAAAACCAGCGCTTCGAGAAGG